AGAAACCACTAGTTTTTTCGAAATACACAAGCTTCAACATTAGCTTTAGCTGAGCGTAGTTTTCAATGTTAAGGAGATTGAAAAACTACTTGTGCTCCACAATGTCACAAGAGTGTCTTAATCATGTAGTTATTTAGCATACTCATAAAGAATTGACAGACGATTTATACATCGAGGACATTGCAAAGGAATTTGTTACATTTAATGAACATAGATGCCAATATTTTGGACAATATTAATTTCAGTACAATGATCAATTGTTGGACTCGCCACGCTTGCGTAGGCGGGTACTAAGCAGTTGGGTTGTCATTCTGTCTGTCATTCTGTCACGAAAATTCCTGTTAATTCCTAGTCAATATCTTTTTTACTGAGCTCTCCTGAGTTATAATTTTTTTTAAGCTTTCAGAAAAAGATAATTTATTTAGCTCCGTTGTGTTTTCATAGCAATCCACGGTAGCAAAAGCCGAATATTTTCAAGAATAGACCACTTTTCCTAGCCAAATCTTCGTGTTTAACTCTATTTAGTCAAGATTAGCATTGATAGGTAGAGAAAAGTACATAGATTAAAAAATATGTGGGAATTTTCTAATCTCTTTTTTGTTTGTGAGTTACAGTTGCTCAAAGTTTGTGATTTAGCCTCTTCGAAAAATTTTCAGGCAGCACTGGAGAAAGCAGGAGCAACCAAACTATCTCAGCCTCTTTTAAATATCTAGGCAATTTTTTTGTGCTTACTCTTTCTTTGAATAGAGCTTCAGATGCTAAAATAAATTTCAGCTTTTCTTCTTTCTCCTACCCACGTGCCATGTTTGCACTGCAGTACTGCTAAGTGCTGACCACACCTAAAATTTATTTTATGGATCAGTGCAGTAATTGCATTGTTGCACTTTGCACTTTGTCAAAATCTATTATCCTTTTTTCAAATATCAAGTTGCTTATATATATATAATATCATGATGGGGGCAGTACAAGTAATACATTATCCCTCAGGTGAATCTCAGCAGGCGAGTCCATGCACCATGGTGCTTCATTAAATCATGCTCCTATGATTTCCAATAAATAATACCTTAGCCCCCCCAACTTTTAGTTTGTTCCTACCCCTATGGCATTATGACTCAACTGATAGCATCACTATCACCATAGATAAAAATCATTTTTGTCACTGAAGTTCTGTATGCCGCTGTCTAGGCCATCATGGAGTTTGCTAGTATCATAGATACTGATGCTAGCATAGATCATCTATGCTGCTAGGTCGTCAGGTCCGTGGTCATTAATGCGGGGTCGGTACTTTAGTCTTTTCGGGTCCCTTGGTCGGGTCCATAAATTAGTTTGTATCGGGTCCGTCGCTCGGTCCGTAAATTAGTCTTTTCGGGTCCGTTGGTCCGGTCCGCTTTTTAGGGACAACCGACACCGGCTCCGGTTTTCAGCAATCATCTCAGGGTCATCTCCGGCTCCGAGACTCCCAGTCTTCCGTATTTGGCATCTCCGGCTCCTGGTTTTAGCAGGAGTGAGGACCCCCTTGGTACTTCCTGTTTTCTCGACCTTCCAGCTTGTAACTGTTGCCATAGCTGCTCATTTTTTTACTATTGATGATTCTGTGTCCACTTTTGCTCTACTAAAGAGATGAGACGAGTCTCTAGACGATTAAAGCGCATTTATTTTACGACTGGCTCCAACACAGTTCAAACGTTTTCTTCTTCCGACTATATTAACGACATACCTTCAAGATTTCACGTAGTATCAGGTTAGTCAAAGCACTAATACATCATATCCTACCCTGTAGTGTTAGTTTAGTATCTCTAGGATTAAGTTCACGGGACTACATTGTATCAGTGTTCATTTACGAGTTATTTTATGTTGCCTAGACTCTGATGTAGGCACCATTTACAGTATGTAGTGCCTATATTTATGGCTCCTTAATCCCACCTTGTGTGGCTATTGTTACAGCCGTATAATTTGCGCATTTTAAAACCTAGGGACGCTCTAAAAACGCCTAACATGACTACAGGAGTACTAAAATGACTGGGGATGCTTTAAAAATGACACCCTAAACCCTAAAACAATAAATAAAAACATTAAAAATGGAAAAGTAGTAGGATTGAATTGGAAAAAGTAAGGAAACAAGGGGGTACTTGTGGACTAGCCTGGTAAAAAAAATCCTACACTACTGCATGAAGATAAAGTCTTCAAAGTGCTATTATGAGCAGCTAGGATAATTAGCTACAATGCTTTGGATTATATTCTTAATGCAGTGGTGTAGGATTTTTTGCCATACCTGTTTGCAAGTACCCTCTTGTTTCCTTTTTCCAATTCAATCCTACTACTTTTCCATTTTTAATGTTTTTTGTTACTTGTTTCCATTCTTTTTTCTTAAATTAATAATTACAATATGTTATGATTGTGTGGTTAGGTTAATTATAATTATTCATGATGATCATGTGCACATAAATTAACATGGCGTCAAACCACAAACCCATGCAGTGGCTGCAGCTGGATTTTGTCTTCCATTTTGTTCTCTGTCTTTGCTTCTTTTTGAAACTACCTTTGTGGTCCTTGGCTCAAGCCTAGAGGAGTAATGTAAAAGCCAACTCAAGCACGTCTCTAACTTAAAAGATTAGAGGGGACATACATGTTGAAGAAGATGACAGAAGGAAAGAAAGTCTGAAGAGTTTCGCAGAAATTTGAATTTAGGCCTATTCTCCAGAATTGCTCCCACTACATTACAGTCCACTTTAAAGGTACCAGGAGAATCGCTCAGTGAAACCTCAATCCTGCATATAGGCTACCGCCTATATAATAATGGCATAACTAGGGCACATACATGTACATGTACATGTACCTAAGTAGAGAAGATTTTTTAAATCAATTTTTCAAAGTAAGAAATAAAACAAGAAAGAGCATTAAATGCTAGATTTTTATGGCCTTCGGTGACTTTGAACCAGCGCCCATGTCCATGTCCTGCCTGACGCCTTCCCGACAGTTCCACCAAGAACCTGCTGTTTGAATCATGCTGATTATAATTTTTATACTTCATTTTTGTTATTATGCTTCATTTCTATTTGCAGCCATAAAAAAAGCTGGGTACAATGAGATTATGGGTCTGAAAAAATAGCCACTATGTTTACAGTACCATCAATTTTTGCAAATACATGTACTTTATTTTAAACCCAAGCTGAATACTTCAATTTTTAGTTGTAACTTTGACTGTCCTGAAAATAATTTCACATACTTCCCCAAAAATATGTAGTACTTCTGTACATGAATTTTCTCTTAACCCTTTACCACCGATAGACATACTTGTATGTCAATAATACGAGTGGGTGTAGTACTATGTATGTTATTTGTTATTTTCTTTTTTATTTATGATAAAATAACATTCTAGATAGCTTAAATAACTTCTCCTGTCATCTCTCTAACATATATAATATTGTCAAAGACTCAAAACAAAATATAATTGTATAAAACTACAGCAGTGTGACCCAAACAGTTCAAAACGATCAGTGGCCATGGTAAGTAACCTAGGAAATGACAAAACAACAAAAGACAGAATGTTTAGGCTTACCTTTGGCTTGTGAAATCCTTTAGAAATGAGCAGAAAAGGCAAGCGACTCGAGAGAGCTGCATGCTTTGCCTAACATTTCAATGAAGAAAAGCAGTGGGCATGGCTACATTTTGCTTAGCAACGGCTTAGCAACCATGGCTCCTCAACGACTCACAGTAGCATTTCTGCTCGTAGCATTTTCTCCATGGACTTCTGCCTCTTTATTCTTTCATATTCTGCCTATGTCGTCCTGCTTAACGTGATTGAACTCTCTCTTTTGCGTGACCAAGTCCGTGTAGTTTTTAAAAGGCGGTGAGTATCTTTACAGCAGACACTCCATTGCTTTATGCTGCTTCATTTACTATTATACTTCTTCTATCTACGGATGAACATCCCATAAAGGCTGCTAGCAAGTTTCAAGTTTTGTAGG